AGATACTAAAAAAGATATCGATGTGTTTTAGCACATTTTGTCGCGATCATGCCAACTAATGTTTCTTGTATCCCAGGAAATTATTCAATCTGAGGGACCAGTAAAAATTATAATTTGCATAATTTTAATGATGATCGAACTACCAAACAAAGTGAATATTCAACAATATAAGTTACTATTTCGGGCCTGCTGTTAGGGGGGGTGATTTCCCATCGAAGTTTCTCATCTTTTACTGGCGTCTTCCTCACCCACTATCCTACTCTACCATCTTCCTAACTTACTCTAATTCCCCGTTAAAGTGCCATGGGGAGGGGAAGGGATATTCAGTGCACTCGAAACAGGAAAAGCCCAAACAGGCAAAGAAAACCAACGGGTGAAAATATTTGCCTCTGGGACAAGCATGCCCGCTCCTCTCCCTTTAGCGATCAGAAAGTACATCCCGGCTGGGTATCCTCGATGGAACCTTGGCTGTTCAGGGTTCCAGCTTCAAATGGGAACGGAAATTATTACTGAGGGGAATTCTGGGAAACAATTTAGTGGTAATTATTATGCTTCCACTTGCACAGGGGCTTCCCTTTCCTCTTTTCTTTTCCCTATTGTCGGTTTTCCCAGTTTTCCTTCTCTTCTTTTTGTAAAGTACTCAACATCGCTAAGCAGTACTTGAAGCTTTGATGAAGCGAACCGTAATAGGCTGAAAAACGAGTGGAGCTCGTTCCAGCCGAAATCTTTAGGAGAATTAAAGGAACAGGGAAAGTGACTGCTCAGGAAGAGACTATTCTGTAAATAAACTTCATATTACTAGAAAACTATAATAAAGTAGTACAATCTGAGACACAGTTATGCTTGGTGGGGTACTGAGTGGTATCCAGCTAAAGCTAAAGTCATAAGCTAAAAAATGAACTAGTGAAAGGGAACATTGCCTCCTTCAAGCCCAACACCGCCCTACTACTGGACACTACTGTAAGTTATTACTAACGACTCCAGCATTAGCTAGTAGTATTCTATAATATTAATACTAATATTCTGCGTAAATAAAGACAAACACCCACCGGCAAGCCAATTTTGCTTGATATCGGTCGAAAAGCGCCTGATCGGCTGTGGTGGTGAATGTGACGTTGAAGAGGTCGCACACCGATAGTGACACTCCCACGTCAAGCACTTCTCGTAAATGTGGAATCAAAGGGATCGACGAATTATCGAGCAGTGATCCTGAACATTTCAGTAAAATCTTGGTTGACTCGGTCCTAAAGGGGCGGAGTTACCCATTAAGGGTGCGGTGCAATGTGGTTGAGTCTGTGGACTGGGAAAGTAGTGTCGGTAGGTATAAATGAATAATGACAAGGAAAAGTAAATAGGTGGAGAAGTGACTTCAACAGGGAATTAAGTGAAGGTGAAGAAAGAAAGAAACGACTGAATGAATAAATAAATAATTGAATGAATAAAAAATGATAAGTGAGTGATATGGCGAGCCGTATATGTTAATTGGAATTGAACTACTACAGCAGGTCCTACCGTAACTTGAATTGGTTAGTGGCGAATCGGAGTTCTTAGCATGCCTATTTTCGTTCGAGTGTTGTAATCAAAAAAAATGAAATACAATGCCGCCGGCTTTGTTCTAACTCTTACATTGGTCTGACATGGTCCTAAAGGGTAAATAACCCCTTCCAACCTAGGAATTGAGAGGGCGTGGCTGCGTACTCCATTTGAGAGTGGGGCGACAGCCGTTTTGTGACGATATTTTCGTTTTGTGACAACTGTAGCCGTTTCTTTTTGAGCACGGGGATCACAGTGGTACCAGGTGGAAATACTCTACAACCAGCGCATCTCTCGTTATATTCAAATGAGGTATGCAGTCACGCCCTCTCTATCTGCGCCATATGGAATATGTCTCGCTGTAAAGTGAAAATCTGGAAACGTCTCTACAGCTCGTGCCTAAGATTCCTACTAGAGTGTTTTATCGTGATAACTGCTGCTAAGGTCGCCATTCGCGCTCCGAAAGACATCACAAGATCGAAGAACCATGGACGAAAGTTTCAGTCACAGGCGGGACATGAACCCTTACCCCACGCTTTCCGAGCGGGTGCGTTACCCCTTACGCCACCACAGCCGTATCTTATTCCATGATTTTCGTGCCATAGCCTAACAGCACCCATACGCTTACTGAGACAACTACTCTGGCGTCAAGCGACTTGGCAAATCCTGGAACGTTTCTTGGTAACCCCTCGCAGAACAGCTAAGCCTTGCGTTTCTTAGACAAAAGTGTCTACCTGCTGCTATGAAAAACCTTGAAATTTTATTGCCTCTATGGGATGTGAATCGAAATGCTGCTTTAGCCATCTTCCTCGATGGGACAAAACTTAGAGCGCTATCCTGCCTTCCTTTGATGCTTCCTCATGTCTACTACTGTAGAGAGAAAATTCACCCAACTAATGGTGATACATTCGAAGACCCAGTAACGCCCATATGACGAGCATGGACTAGGTTGGTCCTTCAAGCAGGGCACGCCATCGCGTTGTGATCATTTCCTGGAAAATACGACCCCCCCTAATTCCATCCTCAAATACGACCTCCCCTCCCCATGCTACCTACCACTTTCCTAGATTTCCACAAACCTCTTACCACTTTTTCCATTTTTACCCGAAAAGTTTCGTTTTTTAGCCAAGGGTTTCCCTTCGAGAGAAGGGAATATACAGGGGGGGCAAAAAAGTCACTTCGACCGAGTCACATATCAGCAAAGTTTTCGCAGCCCAGACAGAAGACGTGGATACGAGTACCAGGGCGGAAGATACCCAAGATGTTCCTCGATAAGCAGGAGCTGGCCCTCGCCCATCACCTTCATGTACACCAAAATATGAGGTCATCTCCAGTCGCAGCCTGACTGGAGAAGACCTTTGGAATTCATGTCACCTCCAAACAGCTGCGAAACTTCTAGTGTGGAGTCACCCATGGGTAGCTACCTGGAGACCAGTACTCTCAATCTGGAAGACCTCCAACATCGAGCAGCTCCGACAACGTCGCTACGGTCTAGGACATCATCTTCACCGCAGTCGTCAAGGAGCGGGTTGATGGTATGGACCGGAGGTACCTGGAATGGAAAGACCAATATTTTCTTCGTGGACCCCGGACTGAAGGTGAGCGCTGGCGGTTACATCGAGCAACTCGAGAAGAATATCCTCCTCACATGTCGTCGCCCGTACCTTCTTGGAAACTTTGTACTGCTACAGCATTGGTGCCACCACATGGAATCGAAGGGCGTTGGAGAAACTCTCGCCTACTTGGAATGGAAGGGGGCTGAGTACCTAAAGAAGATGGAATATCCAAGTAGGTCACCTGACCTGAATCCCCTCAATTACCCGGTTCGGGCGGAGTTCAATAGGGTGGTCTACGGTGGCGGAGAAATCGACTATCTCGCTGATCTCAGGCACCACATCGCGGTCGCGTGCCAGAATCTCTCGATGGCGCTCCTCCAGAAGGCTGTGGCGGAGTGTCATAATAGTATTTAATATGCTCTTTAATATGGTGGTAGAAATGTCCGATCAGAATTTATAAAGTGTAACTTATAGCGCCTCGAATGTTCTGTTAATAGAAGTGACTTTTTCTTTTGGCCCTCCCTTATATATACCCAATATGAAACAGGAAAAGTTCTCATATTTCCCCTCAAAATTTCCCGAAAATTTCTGGTTTTTCCCCCAAAATTTTGCTGTCGAGTGGGAAGGGGGGGAGGAGGTCGTCAGGATTAACTATCATTTTCAACTATCGGAAATAGTAGTTGTATAGATCTTTGGCAGTCCCTCTCCCAACAACGACCAAATACGACTCTCTCCCCCCCCCTCGCGATCAAATACGACCCCTCCCGTTGTGATCATCACAACGATGGCATGCCCTGCCTCCAAGGTTCCAGAAAGATCTCGTTCGATTTGCGCGTACTCATCCTTCCACGTGGAAATAATGAATTCTTATACTGCCTGCGAAACACATTTGAACAAGCACCACAAATAAAAAAAACAAATAAATAGATGAATAAAAGACAGTAAAAGAAAAACCATAAAATAAAATAAAATTCAGATAAATGTTGATGAAAATGTTGAACAAGAAGCTTGCGTCTGATGGTGAGATTGTACAAGTTGTAGAGGTAATCAACCAACCTGCAATATCACTGGCCTGCCAGTCTGTCGGATCAATCTGTTGAGTGGATGAATGTGCCGGTGTAAGGTGAAAATCAACAAAGGGTTGACCACCGTAACAGCAGAGGACCAACAAATGCTCCAATCCCATTTCTCCTGTAATTGCTTGTTAAATATCAGAAACCTCAGAGAAGGTCATGATTCACTATCGAGACACGACGAGCAGCAACGAAACATCAGAAAATCAGACGCTGTTCGGCTTGGAGGGGACATTTGGCACTTCGTTAGTCGTTTTGCCAGCTCATGTTGACTAACATGTCTTTTTTTGGTAGGACCTGTGAACTCTTGTGAAGCTGCCGAAATGGTTTAAGTGATACATGTCTTTACAAGCAGGGTTACAGCATCATGATGTGTGAGGTGGTGGTGTAGGTACGACCCTCTCCCTCCGAGAGAGAGTGTCAGTCGGTATTTGTAGGTAGGTGTTTGGGAAGGGGGGTCTTACCGAGACCCCCACCTAAGTGAGGGTCTCGGTAAAGACCCCCTCCCAACACCTACCTACAAATTTTCCTTATTTCCCAGTCTTCATTTTTGTCACCCAAAAATTTTCCGTCGAGCTATTGAGGAAACAAGAGAATTCACGCAGGAAGTCAACACCTGGAAAAACCAACGCGACAAAATTTTCTCAAAGGTACATACGACCTTTCTCTCTCTTTCTTCCAAAGACGAAGTACGACCCCCCCCCTCACCACAGGGAAAAAGTCCGTCCTCCCTAGTGTTTCACACAACTATGCTGTACCCTGTTCACAAGATGGCCTGAACATCAGTACCATTTGGTGTTCCCTCCCCCAAGCCGAACTGCGCCCATATTTCTACAGATGTTGACCGATGAATTGAAAGAGGCAGAAACCACAGGAGTTCAAAAGAACTGAGAACGAGTAGCAGAAGAAAGGAGATGAAACGCTCCGCGGTTAGGTGATGGGGACCAAAAACTTCAAGGATATTGCGCCAATTGCGATCTCTCGAAGAGTCAATATTGAAGGGTTTCAAGAGTTACAGTTGTACAACAAATTTCTAGATGTTTCTATCACAATCTTTCAAAGAGATTATCACTATTAAGATTCACTTGAATAAGGATTACAAGAAGTTCACTGAAGTTGAAATGAAGACGAGGCGACTATAAAGTACAAAAGTAGTTTACTACTTATTTAGTTTAAGGTACATCTTTCGGGCATTAAGAACTGTTTTCTTTAATCTGGCAGTAAAGTAGTGGCAAGTGGCGCGCTTCACAACGCCCAAAGTCCGGGGATTCCCGATCGGTTCCCGCCGACCAAGCCTTTTACTGTCTGTGGACGGTGTATTGGCATCACGTTCGAGTCTGGGAGGGTAGAACCATTGGACTGTACATCGGTCAGCCCTCATAATCAGATCATCATAGTTTGTTAGCAGTTTCAATGACTTTTGAAGAAAAATTGGCATATCAATTTTTTGTTTGAAAAAAATTAACATAATCAAATATTTTTGATTAATTTCCAGTATTCTAGGTGATTAATCACCAAGTTTCCGGATAATTAATTGTTGAGTTGTTTAAGGGTTTCCCATAAGTGGGGTGCGAGGGAATGTTTTGTTTTGGTTTTGCACGTGCTATTATAGGAGTCCCTGCCCCGCACTTTCCACGCAAGTCATTGCTTAGGAGCCAATCTCATCCAGTGCCCTCTACATTCAAGAAAAAAAGCAGGGTGCATGCCGCGCCCCAAAAAGCGATTGTACAGCAGAGAAAGCTTTTAGTTTTTTATTGCTCTGTAGAGGTAGAAATGACTAGATGTATGTACATACGTGGCATGGCGTTGCCTAGCAGGTGTAGGGTCCGAATCTACTTCCTTGTATGGAACACTTGAAGATTAATGGTTTCGAATCGCAATTTCCTCAAAAGGTCTTAGTATTCCCTTGACCTCTTGAAATGAGTTCAGAAAGAATCGGAGAAATGGAGAAGAGGTTTAGGAGGGTTTTCATGGGGTAGCGAGACTTCTTAAGCTGAGAGCCATATTTTTGCTTCAAACACGACGGGAATAGCAATCTACCGGATTACTTGCACTCCACTTCCCTGTGACGTGGAAGGCGTGGGTGAGTAAATCCTTTGAAATGACGTATAGCTGGTTATTTCTGGAACATTTTAGTTTGACACAACTGTCATTTTGTCTTGAACTGGACAAGGATGTGAGCACAATTGTCCCACAATGAAAATATCTCAACAAAAGCGAGACGCCCCAGGTTCCAATGAAGTGCGCAGTCACGCCTAGCACGTGAGAGGTTTGGAATATGCATAGGTATGGTCTACAGACAACATGAATTTAAAGACAGTATGACACGATCTAAATTAATCCTTGAGACGAATAGGAATAATACGCTCTGGTACGCGAGAATCCGCGACCCTGAGCAGGCGCTGCGTAGCGCCCTTCCCAAGAAGGTGCTCTTATAAGGGCCCTGTCAAACTACAACACATACCGACCCGAAGCCTATCGCGCTCGCTCGCCCAAGAATGGACTACCATACAGTCCTCATCATTGCGGACCGGTGGGGCGTGTCAGTGCGGCTGCGTTTGGCGCGGTGCCAAAGTCGTTCTGCACCAGTTGTTGAAGCGGGCAAGTGACATTACTGTATTATATCCTTCGTATTACTCGTTTTCTACCACTTTTTGTCGCATACGCGTTTCAACAAAGGATGCTATGAAGCCGCTGCGGTGCTGCCTGGATATATGGGTACATATGTGCAGCCGTACCTACCGTAGCGGTTTTGGCAAGATATGGTAGACTCGTCTGAAATCACCTAATGAGTCATTGAGTACGGAGCTTTTCTTCGCAGGTTTTCGAGTGTTTCTTTCTTTGAATGTGCCAATCTTCTGCTTTTCTCTACATTCTGTTCTTCTATGGCATGCGCGTATCACTGAGTAGTCCACACAGAAAGGGGGTTCTCAGAAAAACCTCTATGTTTTGCCTGCCCATATGTTACTAACATGCTTTTGTAGCCACTGTCCTCTATCCGTCTAGGTTACAATAAAATCACATTGGTTGATGATTTCCGTCTATGTATATTTGTTACGCACCTATCAATTTTTGGATGGGCCGGGCACGCCATTTCATCATGTAGGCGGTAGAAGGGATATCAGACTCAAGACGGTCACGGCTAGACATATCCCAAGACGGTTCCTATTTGTACGACATCATATTGACGAATTGATCAGTTTCGCCGAATATTCCTAAAGGCAGTATCCACGCTATCGCGTGGGCGGGGTCCGGCCTACTAAGGTGCCCTTTCCTTGGTGCGCTCTTCTTCCGAAGGGAGTGGAGGAGGGATGCACCAATGGAGAAAGCAGCAATGAGCCTTACTATGCGATGAGCGTGGACTGTGCCTTTAAAGAGCACCCAAATGTCCAGAACACCGCTCTACATGGGTTCTGACCGCTGAAGGGATGGAAGGCTCGGAGGGATGGGAAGCTTAAGCTTCGTCAAACCCTTTCACTACATATCCAGGTACCAGTCACAGCACTCCTAGCC